TAAGGTGGTTTTGGCAAAAGTGTCGTGTCAAAATGTCGCTCTGACTTTGACATTTTAGTCCAGCTGCCTTATCACCAGTAACAAGTAAATCCCCTCCAAAAAACAGGCCGAACTGGCTGAGTGTTTGTACTTCTGCCAGCTGACTGAGTAAACTCAAGCACTGCTGGTTCGTTCACAGAAAGACCAGCCTCAGCTGGCTGAAGCCAGTTTAAATGTTCCTGAGGGGCACATGGTCAACAGCTGGTGGTGTAGACACAGGTTTAATGTAATCAAGTGGCTCTGAATGAAAATGACTCGGTTCTCAGGCTAATTTAATTACATTTTAACTTTGTGGCTCGCTTATCGCTTCCGTGGTATTAGAGGGGGGGGAATTCTCCAACATGCGCTGGGTAAAAAAATTTGCTTTCACTGCTGACCACTTTGGAAAACCACCTGGAAGTCAGCTCAAATTTATTAGAAAAGATTTTACAAGATAAATTTTACTTTGTAACATCGAAGGTACTTCTGAAAGTTTGTGCAGTATAGGTTGTGAAAGTAGCATGTTTGCAAATATCTGTAGCGTCAATAAAAAATCATTCAGAATAGGTTTTTGATAGGAAAAGCTCAGGACGGTTGTTAGAACTCGGCTTCAGGTGAAGCAGTGTGGTATTAGTTCTGACCGTTGGTCCAGAACTTCACCTTCATGAAGTTCTAATGGACTCATGAGGGTTTGATTATTTAGCCTAAATGTGTTTTGTGGTTTTGAAGCCTTACAACCATGTTTCCTGAAGGAGTTCTGTGGGAGTATGGGGTTGTTGGTAAAGACTATCTGGTCCAAATCATCAGCATGAAGCCCGTCATGTTCCCGATGTGGGCTGGACTCCACCAGGGCTTCAAGTCTTGTTGGCGGTGCTCATGGATGGGATCCCAAGGCGCAGTTGCAGAGAGAAGGGTGTCTAGTTGGGAACCTTGGGGACTCATCTCTAAAGTGTTGTAGATAATGTTCTGTTGGGGTCTTCAAACCATGATCCTCAGCGGACACYGGGGCGGTTCATAGCCAGGATGAGAGTTAGCTCTTTTAAATCTGAGGTCATAGTTGTCAACCTGAAACAAGTGAAATGCTTCCTCTGACTGAGTCTGCCTCAAGAAGAGGAGTTCAAGCTACTGGGAGTTTTGTTGATGGATAGTAGGGTGGAGCAGGAGATGAACTGGGGTCTTGTCTACAGAAATGAGGGCGTTGCTTCAGTTAGTCGAGGTGAAGAAAAAGCTGAGAGAAAAAATAAAGCTCTTGAGTTTGTCTACAGTCCAACCCTCGCCTATGATCCTGAGATAGTTTAGCTGCATGCATAATTTTGTTCTCAGCTTCATGTCATCCATCCCCTTATGGCACAGGCAAAACCTTTTGGTCCCTCTTGGGATACAAAAGTACACTATATTGCCAAATGTTTTTGCTCACCCATCCAAATGACTGTGCACCTGTGCACAAGGTCCATAAAGACATGGATCAGGGCATCTGCAAGGTTTTAGCAAGTCAAATTTAAGACTTTTTAAGACCTTTTTAATACCACCTTGAATAAAATTTAAGACCGAAAATATAAACGATGGTTCTGCAGAGACGGCCGGGGGAGACGGAGAACTTTAATCGCTTCTGCCAGACAAAATTTAATACTTTTAACAAATTTAAGACCAATTTGCACATTTTTAACAAATTTAAGACTTTTTCCGGTCTTAATTTTAGCTATGTGAATTTTAGACTTTTAAAGACTTTTTAAGGACCCTCGGACACCCTGATGGATGGCAGAGTCTAATGTGGATGAACTTGACTGTTGCACAGAGTCCTGACCTCAGCCTGATAGAACACCTTTGGGATGAATTAGAGAGATTGAGAGCCAGGCCTTCTGTCCAACATCAGGATGTGACCTCACAAATGCACTTCTGGAAGAATGGTCAAAAATCCCCATAAACACTCCTAAACCTTATGGACAACCTTTCCGAGAAGAGCTGAAGCTGTTCTAGCTGCAACGGATGGACCAACATCATATTGAACCCTATGGATTAGGAATGGGATGTACCTTAAGCTCACATGAGTCAAGGCAGGTGAGTGAACACTTTCGGCAATATGGTGTATGTAGGGATCATGACTGAAACAGGAATTCCCAAATACAAAAGACTGAAAATGAGCCTTCACTGAAAGGTGGGCGGGCTCCCTTAGCTGAGATGAGGGAGCTCGGCTCAGAGCCACTGCTCCTCTGCATCAAAAAAAGTCAGCTGAGGTGGTTGGGGCATCTGATTGGAATGCCTCCTGAGCACCTTCCTCTGATGGGTGTTTTGGGCATGTTCCTCTGGGAGGAGACCACGGGCCAGATCCACAACTTGCTGGAGGGATCTTTTATTCTCTATGGCTTGGAAGGTCCCCCAGGAGGAGCTGTATCTCTGCCGGGGAGAGGAATGTCTGATTTTCCCTCATGAACCTGTTAGCCTCGCAACACAACCGTGGATAAGCAGAAGAAAGCGGATGGATGGGGTTTTACATGTTTACAGCTAGAGATTCTTCAGCTCCTGATGCCAGGAAGTATACACATTTACATCACTGTCTCCCCTTTATTGTGTTGCTTCCCAGTATAATAAGTCATGGCAGGGGATGAGAGAGGAGGAGACTGTCGCCGCTTTAATGGGGAGTTTCAGCTCACTGACYGACCGAGCATGCACAGGCTGCTTTATTGGCCTAACATAAGCTGACAGAACACCTGGCTGCAGATGCTTGTGCAAAGATGGATTACATGCACCAACACCTGCTGCACGCTGTGCATGCGTGTCGAAGGGAAAACAGCCCTGGGTGAAATGATTCAGTCTCATTTCAGAGTGCCACCTGAGCCCTAATCCCCCACCGGTGCAGGGTGCTAATTCACCACAGGATGTCCAGACACTCTGCGTGGGAAACCAGGGATGATGCATCAAATTTAGTACCTAATCATATTTCCTTAGTGCCTCAATTGTGATTTTTTTTTTTACCTTAATACTGATAATTAAAATAAAAAGAACTTGAATTTTGAGGTAATCTCCATCTTTATTTATATCGACAACCACACCTAATACCCAAGTTCACTTTGACTACAGATTTGTACATTTTGTATGATTCACAAAAAAAAAAAAAACAAAGAAACCCGTTTGACTTAATTAATGGAACCAGCAGAAATATTTATTTCTCTTTCCTTCTCTACTGGTAAMTTTAAGATTAGTGTTGCAACAACTGACATGTTTTTATTGTTCTGTAAAGAGAAGGATGTTTTGGGAAATGGACTGTATGTTTATGCTGATTTGGGAATTGAAAATCTGGATTTCAGGGTCCCAGACAGGTTTGTGATATGTGACAATTCATGTTTGTTAGTAAAAACACATCTCTTTGCACACCMTGATACCATTATTCAAACACTCTGATTTGGAATGTAGTGCACATATTAATATTTCAATATGTTTACCTTCATTTGACAGTTAATCCCTTTTCGCTGCTCCGATGATGTTCAAACTAACTTTCCTAGATTTTTTTTATTCTATTTATTTTTTTTGCCTTTTCTTTTTCCGGTTTCATTATATCTTTTGGCAACATTTTCATTGTGCAGCAGATAAAATTTAAAATGCACAGGGGGCAAACAAGCCAACAAATCTTAGTATTAAAGCAATGAGACTGAACGGCGAGACAGATTGAGTTTGCATATAAATTAGCTCACACTGCCAAGACTGGGGAGTTGTTTTTACAACTCAGGCATCAGATGGTAAAACTTTCTTAAATAAAAGGCAGCGTCCGGAGCAGTAGCTGAAATTGTGAAAGAACTTAAAAAAAGATTTATGAAGCTAGAATAATCTGAAAACAGGGAGCAATCATTCCTAGAACATCAATGGTATTAAAAATGTTGTTGATCTGAATATATTTACATTACAGAGCAGCTTTGGGAGATTTTCATGCGTTAAAAAGGCAGACAAGAACAAATGGAATGCTGATGTCACCTCTGCAGATGCACTGATTGATTAATACTGTCTGTTGCCATAATTAGCGTGCGTAATTTACACAGGCTCATAATGTATGGTAAACTGATTCTTGCCCTTCAAAAGCACTCGCTGTGCACCGTTTGGCCCGTACAGCTGCTGACCGGTGAAAACCTCACGATCTGTTGAAGAGTTAGTGAATAAGAAAGGCTGGAGCCGCTGCTCATCGCTGTGAGGTGAATGGTTTTGTTGGCATGTTAGAGAAGTTGCTATGATTAGCTAATTGAGGTAAGAGCTCCCTGGTGAAAAACAGAAGTTAGCTGCGTGATCGGCTTTTCTGCTGCGAGAAGGCTTTAAGATCAATGTAAAACTACCAAACAGGCTTTCATAAAGGAGACATCATCAAAGTGCAAAACCAGTATTGCAGCAGGGTGTACTGTATATAAGCAGAAAGACTTCTATAAACATTTGAACATCTGTTGCAAACACCATTTTTTTTCAATTATATAAAGCAAAAAGCGAACAAAAATTACTGGTATTATATAGCAAGAGATCTGGGCCCTGGTTGGGAACCATCTTCATGTTTTGTGTTCCGTTGGGAAGGCAGGGTGGAGTTAGGTGTAACGGTCGGAGCGGTCCACCTGGCTCACTTGCGGGGCTGGTGGATGTGTTGGTTGATGTGCTGGGTGGGGGGAAGCTTTGGGATACTGGGCTGAGGCTTCTGGTGGGCCACCTGAGCTGCTGCAGGCGTGAAGTCCTTATCGCCCTGAACAAAACACACTCGGTTAGTACCATGCTTAACATTGGAATCTAATCATTTTTGCAAACCGAACCATAAACAAAAAATAGTGAAGACAAAATACGTAGCATTCCTTCGATACATTTCAGGCCAGAGTTTTCAAACAAGATTACTTTACGACGAGTTTGGGTTGAACTGTGTAAATTAATTAAAGTCATTTAGGTGTTGGCTAAAGTTGACTAACTGTAGGTAAAATAATCAATTCAGCAATAAATTGCAATTATTTCTTTAACAATTCAATCCCCTGGTCAGTGTGCACTTCGGTCAGGAATGACCCGGAACTATTTTAAAGGGATCCATGATTAGTTGTAACATTAGACTTTATTTGATAAACATATATTTTAACTGTAAAATAAAGACTGTATTAAGGCTGTTTAGTTTTTATCATTTTTAAACTAAAGGTTTAACAATATATTACACAGACAGGGCCACTTTATTTACATGCAAAGCATTCTGGGTAAATGATGACGTGGATAGGTCCTCGGAGTGAACGAGCTATATCCACCCTGAGTTAATCTTGGACAATATCTGATGATCGACTCTTTTAAATGAAACCAGAGAGTGTTGACAGAGAGGAGAAAGTAGAAATGATTCAGCCTGGAACTGAAAATATGGATGGAGGACAAACAGAGCTGCTTCATGGAAGAAGAACCTCAGCTTAGCCTGTTAGCTTTAGCATTAGCCCCAATGCTATCACCATATATATGTATTAGCTCAGCGCTACACATTCTCCTCTCGTCACTGAGGTCCTCCATCCACTTGACAGAGAGGGGAACGCAAAAATGACTCAGCCTGCAACTGAAAATATGGATGGAGGACCTCAGTGACGAGAAGAGAATGTGTAGCGCTGCTAATACATATATATGGTGATAGCATTGGGGCTAATGCTAAAGCTAACAGGCTAAGCTGATGTTATTCTTCCATGAAGCAGCTCTGTTGTCCTCCATCTATATTTTCATTTGCAGTCTGAGTCATTCCCTCTCTGTCATGTGGATGGAGGACCTCAGTGACAAGAGGAGAATGTGTAGCGCTGAACTAATACATATATATGGTGATAGCATTGGGGCTAATGCTAAAGCTAACAGGCTAAGCTGAGGTTCTTCTTCCATGAAGC